AAATTATAATAGGTAGGAGAGACAAGACTTTCGGACCACCCTGTATAATAGGATGCGGTCTGAAATGTATATGGCTTGAACAAATTAAAAACTTATGATCAGACATAGATAGATAGATAGATAGATAGATAGATGAATAGATATAAGATAGATAGTAGATATGTGAATAGAGATAAGTAAATAGATATGAACAAATTAAGATACGATCAGAGAGAGATAGATAGATAGATAGATAGATAGATAGATGTGAATAGTGATAAGTAAATAGATATGAACAAATTAAGATACGATCAGAGATAGATAGATAGATAGATAGATAGATAGATAGATAGATAGATAGATAGATAGATAGATAGATGTGAATAGAGATAAGTAAATAGATATGAACAAATTAAGATACGATCAGAATACATACATATGCAAAATATATAAATATATATATACATAGGTGCATACACATACATATATATTTTTTGAAAAAATATTCCAAGAGGATATAATAAAAAGGCTTAAACACTAATATTCCATGGCCATAATTTATTCCATTGGAATCGTAAATACGGATCCAATTCATCAGACCTACAAATTCAAAAAAAGAAAACAGAAAACAGCTCCATCGGAAAAAAAAAGCAATTTAGAGAGAGTGTAAGTATAAGAGTCTATATTTAGAGCTAAAGAGAGGGTAACAGACGAGAGAAGGTGGAGATTAAACTTAACAGAGAGAATTTTAGGAGAGGTGAGTGGAATGGGTTTAAGTAAGAGAAATATGAATGTTGTCGGATGTCTAATACATAAAGATACATTTACACACACACACACACATATAATATTATATATATATATATATATATATATATATATATATATATATATTTACTGTAGGTCGATTTTTAAATCAAAGTCTTGGAAAGTCTAGATAGTTGTCCCACGGAGACGATTGTGTTTAAGCATGAAACAGACTGTCGCCAAGGGTGTTGACTTCAATGTCCACTTTTATATTTAAATACGCTCTATCCTTGATATTGATATCATAAAACTGAACAAAATATTTTGCGTGAACATTTTGATTCCATTTGAGGAAATGCAATTAAAATCAAATTAGTTAATATCTCGAAGACGCGGTGTTAACTGAAATAAATAATCAGGTGGGATTGTTCCATGCTAAAAAATCAAGTGTCTCCGAGTCCTTGTGGGTGATGAATTATTCTCCACTCTCCAACCTCTCTCCCACAGGCGGGATGTGGCAAGCCTCTCGTTGAGCTACCGCTATTTTCACGGAAGACGAGCTACATTCCCTGGTCCCACCGAGGCAAACACGCCATGCCACTTGCATATTAACAAATCACCCACATTCCATCGATGAGAAGTAAGGTCTACTCGAGTAGCTTCCTTCTCGCGAACCGCTGCCCTGTGGAATCGACGCCCAACAAAATGTGTTCCCTGATGACTGTGATCTTAACCTATTCAAGTCTCGGGTTAATCGTCATCTCCCTCACAAATGACTTCCAAACTTTACCCGCTACATAGAGTGGCTCCCGGACCTTGTAAAGTGTGACCTTCACTGTAAAAAAAAAAAAATTGTAAAGGAAAAGAGATTTTCTTTCATAAAACTTATTTTTGATGTTTCTAGGAGGGTGGATATCCATTTCAACAAAAAAACAATTTATTTATATCCAATCACGTGTATTCACAAAAAATAGCGTTTATAATAATAATAATAATAATAATTATTATTATTATTAGGTTGGTGCAAAAATAATGACGTAATAATGTCGTTTTTTGACGTATTTTTTTAACGTCAAAAAACGACATTATTACGTCATTATTTTCGCACCAACCTAATAGTAATAAAAAAGTGCCTCCTTATTGATATGGCAGTCCCTGCTGGCTGCAATGTATCTTTAAAGATATTCAAAAAGCTGTCAAAATACAAGGACCTTGAAATAGAAATCTCAAAAATGTGGCATATGGGAACATCAACAATCTCTGTTGTAGTTGGAGCCCTAGGAATGGTTGGAAAAGATTGCAGTAGACTAATTGAAGGGATTCCTGGAAGTCCATGCCTTAAAGAAATACAAAAAAAAATTTCTGACAAGTACAGCCCACACTTTTCGAAGGGCTTTATCTATTATTTTTTTTTTTTTTTTTTGATGCCATTTCTAACCTTAGGTCCTGGGCGGGACCCGGAAAGAAATGTGTAAACGCCAGAAATCAAAGGAAATAAAAGTAATGATAATAATAATAATTTATCTTAAATCCTTTAACTGCATGAACTGACATCACAATTCGGAAACATTTACATTTCAAGAACATTTACATAGTTTCTTTTTATGTGTCGTATCACTTCAGAACGTAGACGATCGTGGCTCTCCACATCCTCCTGTCCTTTGTCGTCTGTCCATAAGCTTTGACTTTTTGCTATTCCTCCCAGACCCTGTTCTGCTATCCATTTGCTTAAGCCCGTTAAGTATGTCACGCGTTGCTTTCCCTTGTCCCTCTTTCCCTCTATACGCCCTGTGAGTATCAGATTTTCCAAGCCTTCCTTTCTCATTAAGTGTCCCAGAAATTTCAACAGCTTCGTCCTGATGTTAAGTATAGGTTTCCTTTTTGTTTTCATCTCCCCCCCCCCAAAAAAAAAACCTCATCGTTGCTCGCATGTTCGACCCTTCTGTAGAAATTAGCAC